TATATATATATAATCTTTTGAGGTAGCATCTCATGTAGCCCAGTCTAGCCTTTGGGTTCCTGATCCTCCTACCTGCAACTCTCAAGTGCTGGGATTACAGGTATGAGCCACCACACTTTTAAAATGGGCTTAAATCACCAAATAACTGTAATGTGACAAAAGCCCTTTTAAAAAAATACTTTGTTATTTTTATTTTATGTGCATGAATGTGTTGTCTGTGTGTATGTAAGTGCATCAGTGACCTGTGATACCTGCTACATCAGATCCCCTGGACAGTTGTTAGCCACCATGTGGGTTCTGGAATCTGAACCCGGGTCTTCTGCAAGAGTGGCCAGCACTCTTAATGGCTAAGCCATCTCTCCAGCCCTTTGAACAGAAAATTAATCAGTTAGACAGTGTTCAGGTCACACAAGCCTGATGACCTGGGCTCATTCCTTAGAACTCATAGAAAGGAGCATGAAAAGAACCAACTCCACAAAGTTGCCTTCTGAGCCCAGACACCTGTGCCATGGCAAACATGCACCCCTATCCACCATACACAGTAATAAATAAAGTTTTAAAAACTCCTTTGCCTAGGCTGTTATATTGTCATTTCTTCAAGACTAGATGTTGACATGTGATTTCTAATCCTATTCAGTTGTGCTATAACAGCTTAAAAAGCACTCCTGTGAGGGCTGGGCTATAGGTCAGTGGTTAGTGTGCTTGTCTGGCATGTAAATACTCTTGGAGCTCTAAGGTCAATCCCTAGTACTATCAAATAGGTAAATTAATTTTTTTGCTTGGTTTTTTGAGACTGAGTCTCCCTGTAACTCAGCTGGCATGGAATTTGCAGAGATCCACCTGCCTCCGCTGTGATGAAAGGTGTGTACCACCATGCTGGGCCTATAAAAGCTGTTTGTAAAGTACTGAAAAGCCAAGTCTATCAGTCTTAAAGTAGAAAGGGCACTATTTTGGAAAAGAAAGGGACCAATTGTGTGTGTGTGTGTGTGTGTGTGTGTGTGAGAGAGAGAGAGAGAGAGAGAGATGAAAATGTAACAAAACCCATTATTCCATGCAATTAATATATGCTAATAAAATAACGAGGAAGATAAATACGTTTTGTTTTTCTAAAAATAGTTTATTATTTTTATTTTAGATGTATTAGTGTATTGCCTGCATGTATATAAATGCATTTGTGTCATGCAATGCCCACAGAGACCAGAAGAAGGCGTGGATCTTGGAACTGGAGTTACAGATGGTTGCTAGCTGCCATGTGAGTCGATGGGAACTGAATGTGGGTCCTCTGCAAGAGCAGCTAGTGCTCTTAGCCACCGAGCCATCTCTCCAGCCCCCTTGTTAGTTTTTTTGTTTATTTTAGTCTTTTTGAGACAGGGTCTCTTACAAAGAGTTCCAACTGGTGTGTGTGTGTGTGTGTGTGTGTGTGTGTGTGTGTGTGTGTACCCACGGCACGGTGCACATGTAGCGGTCAGAGGACAACTTATGGGAGACAGTTCTTTCCTTCCACCATGTGTATTCCAGGCTGGTCTTAAGAGGTCCTTTCGCCCTCAGCCTCTTGTGAAAGATTACGGGCCTGCGCCTCCACCAGGTGGAGTAGGCATTCCAAAAGAACCTTTTAAAACAGGCTTTTAAGGCCAGGCATGGTGGGGCATGCCTTTAATCCCAGCACTCAGGAGGCAGAGGCAGGCGGATCTGTAAGTTCGAGGCCAGCCTTGTCTACAAACTGGGGCAACAGGAAGACCCTGTCTCAAAAAGACAAAAAGCACAACAGCAAAAACAGCCTTTTAGCACTTCATCACCTGGGGCTGCGTGTTAGGGACTTGGTGCTCCAGGACTGCATATCATCTGTCTCTATCACCATCATCGTCGAGCTATCTAAAAATTACATCCGCATTTGGGACAGGATTTATTTCAGTTACCAGTATTCTCTGCTTTTATCCCCCTCTGCCACATAATGAAATACCAGATCTATTCCCCACCTGTTCCCCTAAATCAGTCGCACGAGCGCCTTTAGATGACGTCACTACCAGGCGCCGGTTGCCAGGGCAGCACCGGACTTGAGAAGTCAGCCTTGCCATGTAGCTCGCTCTTTTCCTAGACCTGGCTAACGTTTATGTTAAGAAGATGCATTTAATTTTCTGTGTATCCTCCCTCCCCAACATTTAGATCTGATGTCCCCTTAGGCTAGAGCTGACTCAGAAGTTTACACAAACGCACTAACAACTTTAAATATTGAGTATTTAGACCGGCCGTAAACGTGCTCTCCTAAACCCAGAGAAGTGCGCTTGCGCCCCCTAGCGGTATCTGTCCGTTCTTGCTTAGCCCCTAGTGGTGTCTGTCAGTTACAACCTGTTGGATTGTTCGTTTTTGAGACAGGGTCTCCTTGTAGCCCTAGCTGGCCTGGAACTCGGTACGTAGACCAGGCTGGCCGCGATATCACTGAGATCCACCTAGGGAGAAAGCCTCATTGGAGTTTTCAACTCTAATGCCCATTTGAATAATCTGAGAAACTTGATAAATTGGGGGCTTGGGAAGCAATTCTAGAAAGGAAGCTGAGATAGTCTACGTTTCTACCCAACTCTGAGGTGATGTTGATGCTGTCAATTTGCAGACCACACTTGGGATCTTCAGTTGACTCTAGACGAGTGATTCTCAGCAGTCCCCACTCCTAACTCAGATCATTTGGCAATGTTGGGAGACAGTTTTGGTATCACTATCATCCCCATTAGGTACAGACGAAGGACGCTGAAAACCTTCTACCACCAAGAATGATTTTCCCATACATCCATTATGCAAAAATAGGGGAGCCTTGTCCGAAGCCAAGTGTTGTCTGACCTACATCTGAC